AAGAAGGCTAGGGCAAGCACGCTTACAGACACAACTAACTGTAGATGAAGTTCTAGGTCAGAGGTGAGAGATACATTTTCTGGTAACTGCATTTGTGCCTGCATAGCAAAAGTTGATGCAAGAGGTGATGCAAGCATGAAATGAGCAAGTCAACAGGAATCATCTGGAGGGGGAGACGGTTGAAACAAACAGCCATGTATGGTAAAAATGTTGCTGATAATGGGAGCTTGTCTAACTGTCATTAACTGTTAATCAATCATTAACTGTAACTGATGCATATTATATTCTTTGCTGACACAAGAAGGGGCTGAACCCTGACATATTAAAACCATTTTGTGCTTTTTAGCGAAGATCTATGCTGATGTTGTTACAGTATACATCTTCCCACGCGTGTGTTTAATAAAATCATCGTTTGACTGAAAAAATAAAAGAAAAAGAAAAAAAAAGAAATGTTGTATTTTGCAGTGCATCATCCTGTGCACCATATTATTTATATGAACAGAGACATACACAGACAAACCACCTGGAATCACCGCATGTGAATAAACTGCAAACTCAACTGTGATTTCTGAAAGGAGTATCGTGACTTGATCCATGGATTAACACCCACACTCCTATTGTGTAGTTGTAAGACTAAATTGTCAACAACTACATAAAAACGATATTCTCTCTCCAATAATTGCAGCACAAATGAATATTTCATGGAAAAAATGAAAAAAGTTTCTTCAAAAGTCAATACTTTTTAAAGTATTTACTTTTTTATTCACATTACTCTGAAGGGAGATGGGAAATTGGAGTGTAGCAGTACAAAGGGAAATATTTCTTCCAGGCAACAGTAACAGAACACTATCACACGATGGAAGCTGACTCAATTTCAAATACAACAAAAGAGATAGGAACTGAAATGTGGAAAAGTGGCGTTATGTCCCAGAAGGAACGAAAACTTCAAATGTCTGCTAATCACAACCCTCCAGCTTTCCATCCATGTATTACGTTTGCTTTCATTTATTATTGAAGAGCAACAGCATGATTTACTTAACACTTATAGCGTATGTGGCAAATTGTCATGTAAATCTTTATTCTTGTCAGGTACTGTGAAAAAGCCACATTGTAAAATCTCAGCTGAGTTTTGTGTGGGAAGTGGGTTTTATTCATTTAAACATGAAATGATTAGGGAGAGGAGTTACTAGCAGAACAAAGTCTGCAAAGTTGTTAATTATTTTTAGGGATTTTGTTGATTTCATTTTTCACACATCAACCAGCTTCGAAGTGATTTCGAAGCGTTAAGGAATGTGGTGGCTGGAAAACAAACAACTGCGTTTGCCACGCTAATTACAAATGTTTGCCTTTTCACATTTAACACATCCTTCAGCTTGCACATTATTGCTGTTAAGACCGATTTCCAAGTGCATGTTTGTTCCTGATACAACTCCACAAATCACCTCCATTAAGTGAAGTGTTGATTGGCAGCTGGGCTCTTGAGAGGGATTATTGTGCTTGGGCTGTGACAATAAATTGGCATATTAAGTAGCAAAGGAAACATTCTTGGTGTCTCGGTGCCAGTCTCACCAGTCTTGATGCATTCATTTGCAAACTCTCAAGCGGCCATGACCATTTTTATAATTCATCCTCAGTACAATTTATAAAGGTTTGTTTTTGCAGTGTTTGCTCCCATATGTGCTGTTTTCTTAAGAACTATCAGGTAAAACAAAAACTGTTCACTCATTAAATTAGATGAACACGAATTTCAGGACAATCAAACCAGTTGTTATTGAGACATTTACCTAAAAACAACCATCATCTGAGGACCACGAATGACCAAATTTATTGGCAGTGCATCTAATATTTATTAAGGTGTTCCAAACAAGACTAGAATGGTGTATCTAACAACCACAGAGCTCCACAGGCAGCATGACTCAAAGTGAATCATATCCAAACACTGAGACAATAAAGGTCAGCTGACTCTAATCTGAAGTTCCTGTGTTGTGTCTTTCTACCTCTGAAGGGAAAATAGGAAAATACATTACTAATCAGTTTCTCTTTCCTGTAACTGATGGTGTCTCTTTAACAACATTTCAACGAATGCCGCAGCACAACA